TCCGGCCACCAACTGTCATCAGCGTCCTATCAGGTGGCAGGGGGTGGGAAGGGGATCGGGTAACAATAGCGTGGACACGGTTGTTACGACAAAGTCGCAGAAAACCTGCATTATTCAATGGCCTCCTGCGACAGCCAGGAAAATGTAAACGTCGCCGTCTCTGGCTTCGAGCGCAGCTCGCTCGACTCGAACAAAAAACCCTTCGTGACGCGAACCACCAGTGGGGAGAGAAATTCTTTAAACGAACCTTTGCGTTCCTTCGATTCGAGAAACTTTGTTGAACAAGATTCCCTTACGACCGATAACACCCTTTCGAAACATCTTTAGCCTCTGACGCGTTCAAAATTATCTACCTTGAAGGAATATTTTAATTTTTGTAAAGAAGATACTCTCGATCAGATATTTCCAAACAGCCTATACTCGAATTCCCTCCAAACAATGAAGATTTTCTCGAAACTGTGTTCTCCAAAATGGCGTCCACTGTATCTACTAGACCAACTTCTCGATCCAACCACGTTCAAGGTTCGGTTTCGCTTGTTTACAAGCTTTGGAACGCGTCCAAAGCTTCAACGATTACGATAGAACAATGCACCTCTGTGCAAGGCGTCGATGCGAAAACATAAACGCCGCGTAAAGTTTCCGGACGACGATTTTCATCGAGTTCTCGCGAAAAATTAGACCTCGACTTCCTTAGAGCGAGCTAACAGGTCTGCGTTAAACGCTCTGCCAGCCGATAACCGAACATGTTAATGACTCACGCGAATCGGCAACCTTCGGACACGCACGTGATCGTGGAAAGGGAAATGCCTCGATTTTCAATTCCAAGCTCCCCTGGTAGAACTCAACAAAGTTTACTTTCCCGCGATCAATTTTCACCGTGGGAAAAACGCTACGTCTACTATGACCACACACACGCTCGCGGAGGTTGAATGACTCGCAACTACTAATTACATACACGTGTCGCGATCACGATAACTCCGTGCATTCGTCACGCGTTAATTGCGTTACTTTGCACGCGTGTATATCACCGAAATATTTAAATACAAAAAGACTCGTTGTTTTCCTCCAAATTTTCCTTCGCGGTAGGATTGGCCTTGCTTCCTGTTTCCGGGTTGAAGCAAATAAATCTCCGTGGCGAACGGGATCGCGTGGAGACAAGCAAAGCACGAGAGATAGAGGGAACGGGTTAAAGCGATTGCGAAGATGATTCACGGGGTCGCGAGTCGGAAAAGTGTGCGGAATCAGTGGAAAAATTTGTCGTCCAGCGGCGAGCGTGCTCGAGCGGATAGATAAGTGGGTGGATACGACGGCGACGGGCACTCGCGACGAAGCGTGCGTACACGAGCACGTATACACACGCGAGTAAAGGAGAATGGAAGGCGGGGGCGTTCAGTGGGGGGGCCTTAATGAGGATGCTGCTGATTATCCAATTCGTAAATTCTCGCTACATTTTGATCGTGCTCGCCGAGCCGCGAGTAACAAGAATTACTCGTGCTCCGGCTTACATGCCACCCGATTCCCTCTCTCCGTTCCTCCGATTTTTCCTGATTTCCCGCGAAGTAACCGGAATATTTCGAAAAAATCGACGACTGAAACCCCGGGATCCAAGTAGCATCGGAGCAACCTTCCTCATTATAATTTCACGATACTCGAGACCAGGAGTATATTTGTTTATTTGTAAATCGACAATGAAAGCAAGCTTAAAGGTGCGGGGACCGATCGTTAAACTGCACGAGTCTTTAGTGCCGTAGCCTGGATTTCGTTCCAATCGCGAGTTTTTGCAGTTTTCTATTATTCGAGGCGAACAAGAACATTCGTGACACGTTAAATCAGAATTTGTTTGCATTTACCTTTCGACGGTGTCCGAATCGCTCGAGCAACAAATCGAGGTTGCCGTTGGCACTAGTTACTAAATACTTCTCGGATTTCTCTCGGCTCCTTGCTAAAATGGTGCGTTGAGAAACGTTAGCGGTCGTAAAAAAACGTGAAACGCGATGAACAACCGGCTGTAAAAAAAACTTCGCTCTGATCGAATCGCCGCGCGAATTTTTCGAAATTTCGGAACGTAACGAGCCACAGGACTCTTAAAAGTCGCGGAGCCTGAATACCCAACAAATTAGGGACACGTTTACTATTTTATTCTATTTACGTTAACGAGTCTCTCGATTGCTATTTTAATACTGTCCCACCATCCAGAGAGACGGTCGCCGAAATATTTTAATCGATATCTTCGTTGGCTCCTTAAAGGAAACGTGTGCACAAGTGCATATTAATAGCCATTGTGCCAACTGCATTGACGCAATTGCATCGCCGAAGTGTTCATTGTCAAGGACGACGCGCGTTCCTTCCTTCGCGGGCGTGAAATCGAAACAATAACGCTACGCTAAAAATGTTACGCTCCTAAAAGAACCTGCGCTTTTTTCTGTATGTGCTAAATGGCCAGGTGTCTCGTGGAAATTGAATTTCAATACCTAATCGTTGCATCCGCTGAATAAACATGGAGTCAAAATATTACGGAAACATTCAAACGTATGCAATTTGTTTCACATACAATGTGACCCTTCGGAAGTGTTCCGGACTATTTTCTCGGGAAGTATTGGGGATAGCGAAATGACTGGGGGGAGACCTTTTATATGACGCACACGGCACTGTTGTGCTCCCCAGGGGGTGGAAGTGCCCACCCCAAAATTTTTACAATGCCATAGAAATGTTTGCAAACTCGAATACCTGTCGTCGTATCTGACTCTCTAAATCTCTTATAATTGAAGCAACGAAAACACGCAATTAAACGGTGGCCTAGATCGTTCATGAAATTTGATTGATTCCAAGGTGGAAGAGCACCGTAACATAACCATCCACGGTTTCGTAAAAAAAACTAGCCACGTTCTAATGACGGCAGTTAAGAGCATTCTCGGACACGCACCAGAGGTCCAATTAAACGCAACGCCGTTTCGCGTGTCCACGTTGCAGCATCGCGAAATCGGATAGCACGTGGACGTTGCACTTTGCGTAGGCTACCTTCGCAACGATTCCGATTCGATCGTATCTCGCGCTCCTTGTCTCAATAGGTCACCCCGTATAAAGGCTAACCCCACCGTGCGTGGAATCTCTTTTCTCGAGGCGAGTCTCGAGTTTCGAACGGATTGTATGCAAATCGACCCGCCAAACTTTTAAGGCGAACCCTATACGCTCTATGTCAATTACCCTGGAGTACCTTCGGAACGTCCAAAGTCAATTTGTCGTCGAATACTACCCGCGGGAATCGCTGTTCGATGTACAGAAGGTGGTCGAACCACGGTTTACCAAAATTAATATTCTTATTAAGAAGATAGCTTTACGAATTACTATTTACAATATGTCGACGGTTCTCGCGTTCGCGTGATCTCACGAAACGAACCGTGAAAAAAGCTGACCCCGTAATTTGGTTTCGTCCCTACAAAATCTTTTGTCCGCGATACTTTGTACCGGTGAAGGGACGAATTACGAACTGGGGCCTCTCATCTTTCCGAAACGACCGTGGTGAAGTTTTCGCCTCTAGCGGCGTTTTAAATTTTAAAACAGCAAAAACACGCAACGTGCGAGCCGGTCTGCGCGATCTAATCGGACAAGTTATACACGAGTTAGTGCTTATGCAGCCAGCGCTCATATTATGCAAGCGTCACTCGATGTAAGTGCACCGTTTAGTGTCGCAATCTCAACGGTTAACAGGACGCTACATCGACGACGTCGGTGGGATCGATCGTGTTTCAAAAAGCTGATTTCAGAATTCCTTCGTCGCCGCGCGGTCCCTTCTGCTCGTAAACAACATTCCGCGACGTTTCTGCGTCGAATCGAACATCCGGAAGCCGGCTATAACGCTCGCGAAAATCCTCAACTCGAGTTCTGGTACATCGACTGTTCAAAATTGCACGTTATTCGTTTTACGAGATACTATTAACGTACGAGGTTTCTCGTCCGCGGCCAGTCACGCAACTCCGCGTTCATTTGATATAGTATGATAAGCCAAAGTAAACTACAGGGTACCAATAATAATGTGCATAGCGGTAAAAATAATTTTTTTCGGAGCTAAATAATGTAAAAAATTACACGCAAGGTGTCAACGTTAAGAGAACAATTCGAGTAGGATCTATCGCGAAACAAACAGAGATTACGATTACGTGGTGCGATCGTGACGCGTTCGTGTCGCGTAACGAGCGCGCGTTAACAAGTAAAAACGCTCGACGAATACGGCAGCGAGACTGCGGGAAATTTAGTGTCCCCCGCCGGTAGTGAAACGCGCGGTGAATTAACGCGATCAACACAGGGAGGGCCACGAAACCGAGACCCTCTCTCTCCACGGACAATAGGTATCTCGTAACGCGTTAAAACTACAATGGCCGCGTACGCGGTTAATTGAAACATTTGCCTCGGCGATTACTAGACTGGCCGGGTAAACACACGCGTGAGCGTGCAATTTTCTCACGCCAACGCTCGATACGTAGTCGCGTGACGAATCGCGTCGTCACCGTGCGTCTCTGTGTCGCGACTCGATCGGTTCCGAGCCTTTCTCGCCAAAGAAGCGCCGAGTTTCGATTTCCTTAAACTAGAGACCTTTCGAGCGTTCGTAACTGGAAATCACACCCTAAGATATTCGTTTGGAACCTTTGGAATGAACTCTGCCGGGGTTCGTAAAGGTTTCGGTACAGTAATCCTTTCGTATTATTGGAATTTTTGTAAATTCTACGACTCTGTTTATATCTGAAACAAAAGGATGTTAGGAACGAATCGATACAAGTAACTTAAAACTCGAGTACTCTCTTTACTGATAAAACTCTTGCGTCTGTGTTCGAGGGGCATCGTCATACTCCGACGCAAGAAGATATCCACGGCGTCGATCAAGGACTAACAAGCAAGAACGACGTCGACGCATCGCGAATTTACGACGACGCGGTCGGTGGTGATTTCCAGTTAACCGTAAGCTTCCAGAGCGGCCTCGGGGCAAAAGTCGAATAAAAACTCACCTAGGGAGCTCTCTGGATCGGACAGGTCGGAGAGAGATGGCACCTTCCGCATCGAGGTAAACCTGCCGGGGAGGGCTGGCACCAGGCCCTCTTCCTCGGCGTCAGAGGCCAGCTCTTGTTTCATCAACTTCGCCATAACCGTCAACATGCCGCCGCCGTCGCTAATGCTGCCGCCTCCCAGATAGCTGCCCACGCCTCTAGCATCGCGCTGAAAGAAAACCCAAGCACACTCTTTTAATCCGTCCCACTATAGTTTATTGCGTCGCCTCGATTTCGACCCTTCGCTGACCTCAGATATTTCTGCGAAAACGAAGTTCGCGCGAAACTCGCTACCAACCGGCTCAAGAAACGAATTAGATGTTTTAAAATAGATTCACCCCTCGGTCAAAGCATCTTTCCTTCGATAATTTAACGGGCTCGGTGTTGCTCGGTGTCTCGCCTGGCGGCACTCGCGACGCAGATTGGCCTACTAATATTTCAGCGAGCGAGCCGCATATGCCTAGCAATAGGTTTCCAGAGAGACATGTATACGACATTCCTTCAAACAATGGGACACAGTAGCCGCATGATCGGAAACCGGTAAACCGGAGGGCTGCGATAAAGATCGCAAGGATCAGAGCGAAAAGAGAAGGTCGCGATCGTACGAAGCTAGATCAAAGAGTCGCGGGCTCTCGGTGGAGGCATGAATGGACGGTGAACCTGTTGAAGTTGACGTGACGGAAGGGGGAAGAGTGGAAAAAGAGCAGCGGGAAGGGAGAAGGAGAATATGGCCACGAAGGCGACAAAAGGGGCAGAGAGGCGGGCAACGGAGAGCCTGGACCCACGAGGGAGAGAGAAACGGAATCGATGAATAAGAAACGGCCGACCCGAGAAAGGGATAGCCTCTGTCGCGATGGATGACCGAGGGGAAACTGATGGACAAAAAAGACGCCGAAGAAAGCAGTGCGACGAAGACCGAAACCGCAAACGCGATCTGGACGAAATCAAACTCGAAAGGAGAAAGACCGAAAGAACAATTTATTCCTCGATAATATTTTTGATTAAAATTACTCCTGACCATGGTAAAGTTTGAGAAATTTTAAAAGAAAAAGAAAAAGAGCAAAATTACCAGTTAGGCGATAGGGAATAAATTAAAAACCGACAGCGGCGAAAGAAGAAAGAGGAGAGAGCGTAGAAGGACGCATCGAGACGGCACAACGCGACAGCTACGATCGCTTGACCTTCGTGCGAGGGACTACAAGTTGAATGAAACGCTGCACAAGAGAGTGACGCAACGGTACGCAATGCAACGACAGCGCAGCGACGCGATGCAACATTCTAACCTCGCTCCGTACCTACGCTCTCCTCCCTCCTACCCGACCCTACTCGCCCAGCCCTGTCCTTTTACGCTACTCTCCTCTCTTTCTCGCTGCACTCTTTCCCCTCTAATTCATTCCACCCTCCCCCGCGGCCCGCCGGCGATCCAGTCCACCAGTCACCCTTCCCCCGTCAACCTAACCTAGCAGACGCTCCTGGATCATAGACGAGCAACTCGGTAGCGTCACCGAGGCTCAAAGCTTTACACGCGCCGTAGGCGTATGAACTTGACGACCAGAAGGTGTATTTCAGTTGCTCGTCCTCTAACGGAATATCAACCCGTAGGCAACACACGGGATCCAAAGTAACACGGGGTGGCTGTAACACGTTACATAATTTAGAATTTGTCCCAACGATTTTGTTCGATTTTTATGATTCAAAATGTAGATACTCGATGAAACCTTCCAACGATCAAAATGTGTCTTCCACACTGGAACTATAATGGTGGCTTTTCACTAATGACCTACAAAAATTAATTCTCAAGTTAGACGAAGCCTGCATAAGCAAGAAAACTTAAATAGGCCAACTTGCGTACAGTGTGTTACGGTTAATATAGTTCTTACTTCATTTGTTTACAAAGTAGACAATCGTCGCTGTCGCACGCGTGCGACGGTTTCTCATAAATATCGGTGCGTCACGATACACGCGATAAAGAATGTGTTAAATATTGTAATACGAAAGCGACCGTTCCGAATAAATTACTCCTAATTAAATTTCCTCGTGATATAAGAAATTGTCACGGGATTGACGCACGCAATGGGCAATGTCAATTAAAATTTTATAATACGAGCCTTACTGTCTCGATTTAAATTCGACGTCGTGGCTCTCGCGTGAAACGTGGCTTCGCCGTCAGGACGTGTTTCCACCTTCCAGCTTGTACTCAGATCGGCTCCGATGGAAAATCAGAAGTACATATCTACACGCGGAGGCGGCATTGCCTTTTATGTTAAAGGGGATAATCACGGCGCTGCATCGAAAATTCCTTTCGCATCGTGTAAAAGTCTACGCGTTTAAAAATACATTCACAAAGGTCCGTTTTGAAATCTGAAAAAATAACGAAATTATAAATTATTACGCCCACAAAAATACATGTAAATTTACTCAAACTCGATAAGAGCCGTTTACTGTATTTTATCAATTTCTTTTGTTTTCATTCAATGGAGTTGTACGATTTGGCAAACAAGCAGAAGATCTAGAAGTTTAACGCAACTGTTCGGTTTTAGGAAGGTTTGGGTTAAGAGATGAACGACAAAGTAACGAGATAAGAAAGAAAGTTTGCCAAGATTCGGTGAGAGTTTTGGAACACGACCGGGTGCAACGATCAGCCATGAATAGCTTTCTAGAACTATCGAGACTTATAAATAGCGAGAACGAGTCGCGTGGGGGTCGTTCAATCAACGAGATCGTCGACTTGTCATCCGCTCGTGATGTCACGAATTAACTATCCTTACGTATTTATCTGTGTATCGTTGGTAATCGCAATACTCGATCAAACCGGTAAGTTAATCGTGCTCTACGCGATATCGATACACTTGCAGAAGACCTATTAATCCTTTGTGTGTTATTGACGTTTACAAGAGTTTGATTTGTCCCTAATCTCCGTGCGATAAACTCCCATACGAGTTAGATAAATATGCACATATTCACCTCCTTGTGGCTCGAGAAAACAAATTAGTAGCTCAAACACGGTTTGCAAAAGGATTAATTCGGAGTGGAGTGCAAAAGATTAAATCTTCGATCGTTCAAAAATTCAACACCTAATTGGAATCAGTGTCTACGGAAGCTTGAGATCGCGATGGGTAAAACGAACAAGACGAACCTGAGATAACTGAGATTTTCCAAGGATGACGCGTACGAGCGTGTAACGGCGAAAAGAAAGGCGATTCCGCGTTAATGGGGGGGCCCGATTAAATCATGGCTCGAACAACGAGCCTCTCTGTCTTCCACGATAATTATTTTCCCCTGCGTATTGGCGGTGTACGCATGCAACACGTGTATGCAGATAAGTTGGCGAATCGTAATTCTTGTCACGCGTTGCTTGCCGTCTTTCTCCCCGCCAGTCTATCTGTTTACCTATCTCTTCCTCTTTCATCATCGGCATTCGAACGATACCACGCCGCGGCGATTCCACAACGTTTGACTACGTGATCGAACGTTCTTGGCCACTTGTCTCGAACGAAACTGCTCCGCGATCGAACCCCCAGGTATCATCGAAACGAGATCTCGCACGAACGTCTATCGATCGATGCAAGGTATTTAACTTTTTCCCCCAGGTATTCGAAGTATTCTCTCGTCGATGAATCAGAAACTTAACATCTCTCGTTGGGATAGGTCTTAGAAATTTACTTGGTCGAATTGCCAAGGAAATGAATCGAAACGAAGCATCGTTCCGACACTGACGATCATCGATGAGTATGCATCGTGCTCGAGGCTCGCGCCTAGATATAAATTAATCGACGTACGAATTGCGAATGATGTAATCCGTAATAATTTCTCGGAAACTGCGCTCAGCTCTGTCGTTTCGTTCCTCGCATACCTTCCTCGCCGAAGGAGCTCAAAATAACTCGCCCTCTTTTGTCCTTACGGTTATGGAACGACGATGGAATGACGTGTATCGACGTATTTATTAAAGTTCCGTTAAAGTGGACTGGTTGAAATGTTCCTCGAAACCCGATGAACGTAGATCGAACTCTCGTTGCGCGACAGTACGATATATACAAATTAGTATTACTCGAGAAGTAAAAAATAATTAAAATATTATCGTCGACCGATGACTCGTTTGTCGATACGAACAGATCCAGCGTGAATCATCGGGGAAACACGTGGAGCTTAAAACGTTAAGAAAATAAGACCGAACGAGGATACAAAATCAATAGCTATAAATAACAAACAGTTTGTACGACTTTCTATACGATAAGAACTGGTCATTTATTTTTGGGGAAGCTCAAAACCAGTAGTCGCTAATTAGAACCTGCTAAAATATCTGTAATATTTGAAAGATCGAGAAACTCTATGACAGGACGTCTGCATTCTTATATTTGGACCGTAAATGGCCATTTCGAGCACTTCCTGTGAAGTGTCTATATATTACTGGGTCACGAATATATGTATAGAGGATAATTTTCCATTGTTTTTTTTTTAAACGGAACACAGAGGACTTCTAGACAATTGCTCGTCGCATGGGCCGCGAGATTAAACGGACGATCGGGCGAGCGGGCGATTAAAGCCAAGAGAAAAGAATTCCTTACTAAACGCGAAGCGTTAAGCTTCCATCTTTATGCACAAAGTCTGTTTCTACGGACCAGGGAGGCAGCGCGACGACCCGGCTCTTATAAGAACCCGGCATTATGCTCGTTCAGAAACGGACTCGGTCGTTCACTGAATGAATGAGTAACAGAGGCACCGGTGGAAGGGGCAAAGCAAGAATCGTCGAAAGGGAAGAGCGAGCGAGACCGCGCTATTGGCTGACCGAGCAAACGGATAAGGACGGATCGTTAAAAACGCCCTTGAAAGGAAGAAACGAAAAGAAGCTATTAGCACGTTTTCTCATGCCGGCCACAATCCGTTGCTATTTTTACTCCCGTTTGTTCCTGTTTTCTTCTCATTCTGTTCCCCGCCTTTGATTACACATTCCGTGACTCGAAAAACGTTCCATCGCGCAGAACTCTGTCTGCGAGTTTGCCAACAATAGGCCACCGTTCCTCAAATTTCCGACGAAAGGTTGATTTCGACACCTTCGAACTTTGGATACACGTCCTATCGAGCCTGATCTCGGGTCACCGTCGAGAGGCAGATCTGTGGAAAAAATGTATCCGATGAAGATCTCGACCAGCACAAACAATGGATCAACGT